ACAACAGGTGAGCAGTTGTTTGCAAATCTTAGACATCACGAGGTGTTGATCCAGCGACCTTGCCAGTGACAACGTGGAACGTTCCCACTGGTCACTGGCAATTCGCCAGGACCAAAACGATGAGCTTCGCCAACACTGTCTGCCACGCTTGCGCTCCACATGAGCTTGAACCTTCGATGCGAAGTTCCAATCGTTAGCATTGCACAAAGGTGCCCTCCTGTCAACAATCGAGAAAAGGAAATAGCCATCGGAGGCTCCAAAGTTTCTTCAAGTTTCCCGTGGTACTGATCCCGTGACCTATCCGACAACAACGTGAAGTGGGGGCGCTACACCAATGACGTATGAATATCGTGCAGTACCTCTTCCCTTTCCACCATCCTGCTTTGACCCACGTATACTGGCACGTCAAATGTGGTCGTATTTAGGAACTCCCGAAGACTTCTTGACTCTGCAAACAACGACCGTCTGGGTCTACACCCCTTGAGCACTATTTCTACAATTTCTGTCGCCGTCGTTGTTGCTAAGAGCAGCGCACCCAATCCTCCTACAACCACATAATGGAGTCACGCTCACTTCTGAATGAGTTCACACTCAGGCTATTCTGATGGGGCATCTTCGACGAGGTTCAAAGGTCCTCTACACGTAATTCAGGACACTTCGGATGCATGCCTTTACCAGGTTGGCACGAGCTCATGGCTACATGAAAGCTAGCAGTTGAGACCAGATTACTACCGTCCCTGCTCCATAAGGCCGTGTGTTTCGCTTCTAGGATGGGGAAGGGGTACTGCACGATATTCATACGTCAGTGGTGTAGCGCCCCCACTTCACGTTGTTGTTGGATAGGTCACGGGATCAGTACCACGGGATGCCTAAAACTTTGGAGCCTCCGATGTCTATTTCCTTTTCTCGATTGTTGACAAATAGGGCACCTTTGTGCAATGTTAACGATTGGAACTTCGCATCGAAGGTTCAAGCTCATGTGGAGCGCAAGCGTGGCAGACAGTGTTGGCGAAGCTCATCGTTTTGGTCCTGGCGAATTGCCAGTGACCAGTGGGAACGTTCCACGTTGTCACTGGCAAGGTCGCTGGATCAACACCTCGTGATGTCTAAGATTTGCAAACAACTGCTCACCTGTTGTCAACATCTCCTCCAACGCTGCTCTCAGATGATCCCTCGTGCGCGGGCAAGGCCGGCTAGGAGCCCTATAATCCAGGGTTCAAGTCTGAGAATGACGCAAGTTTTGCAAATAGTGTGGCGAGGGTGGTGGTTTCAACTCGGGTCGCGTCCATGTTCCCACGTCCCTTATTCCCAGTCAATGGTGAAAAATCCGCTTCATTCGATTTCGGACCAGGACACTTTCCCACTGCTGCAGATAAATCTATTTGAATAGTGTGTAACATCCCGTGAAGGCACCTAATTGCTGATGGAACATTGCACAAAAAATGGCTGGCATCACTTGTTCGACGACAGTATTTCCCGATGCCAACGTTTCGGTTCAAAACAAACATTTTCTGAAGACAATTTCAGACTTGTCACTAGAAGCACATTTTCGAAATTTAAATTTATTGATTTTACTTTTCCTTCTGTGAAGGCAAACCAATCGAACTGAGTTAACGGCGGGTTCCGTCCTCGAAGAAAACTCCACCGTCGATAGCGCAGTACTTGGGGCAGATTCCTGGCTCTCCTGGTCCACCGGGCTGTCCAGATTGTCCTGGAGCACCTGGGTTTCCATCTGATCCGGGCTGTCCGTTGGGTCCGTTGGGTCCTTTGGGTCCGGGCTGTCCTGAATCAAAGAAAAATTCTAAATTGCACAGAACAGAACTGGCCACCTTCATTGTAATATGCCTGAAACTCACCAGCTGATCCGGGCTGTCCTGGCTGTCCGTTGGGTCCGGGTGGTCCTTGAGGTCCAGCGCTTCCAGCTGGTCCAGGTTCTCCGGGAACGAGAGGAGTTGAGGCTGCAGGGGCTCCAGCCTGTCCAGGGCCACCTGTGCTCCGGGTTTCCGTTGGGTCCGGAAGGTCCCTTTGGTCCAGGAGGACCGGGCTGTGCACCGTTTCCTGGAGCTCCAGGTTGTCCATCACGTCCAGCATCTCCAGGTGGTCCTGGAGGTCCGGCTGGTCCAGCGGGTCCTTGTGGGCATGGCTTGCATGGAGGAGGAGTGACTGGGTCACATGGCTGCTGTGGTGGGCGTCCTGGATTTCCTGGCAGACCAGGTGCTCCAGGCTTTCCTGGGCGACCGGGCTGGCCAGGGGTTCCAGCAGGCCCAGCAGCACCAGGAAGGCAACCAAGAGTCGCAGCGACCACCAGCGCTAGCAGATCCTCCGCTTACTCCGGCATCACCGTATCCAGCCTGACGGGCGGTTCTGTTTCCGGCTGGGATGTTCTTGAGGTGGTTGACTTCGCTCCAGATGTCCTTGGCGGATTCCTTGCAGAAGCTGATCTCATTGTGCATGGTCCTCTTGACGTGATGGACATAGTTGTAGACCATCGGCAGCGTGACGCAGACCGAAAGGACTGCGACCACCGAGAAGGTGACCGCCGAATAGGCGACGAAGCGGTAAGCCTTGATGCGGTGCTCGAGGTCCATGCTGAACGAGAGCAGTGCCGGTTGAGGTTTTTTTTCAGTTTTATAGCCATGCTTCAATCATTACAAATGTCTCCTATCTCTTGCCCAGCAGCGGTATAACACGTTTTCGAGAAATTCGTCACCCACGCCCATTTGGGCGTTAAGTCACTTCCTTGTTGAATTGTTCTTCACAGCGCGAAAATATTACAGCAGGGTCACTGCCATAGTGCAGCGCGGTCGCCAGTGTTCGAGAGGCTTCACAGAAATTTAGCACACTTTTTCGGAGATGCTATGATACCATCTTGAAGGAGCAGACTTTCCCGGAAGTTATATCCGCATGAATCATTCAGCCCTTTTTGTTTGCATACTGGACTTGCATGATGACTCTTCCCAGACTTCCAATTCAGTATTCCTAAATAAATAGCGCTTCAGTTACGTTCCAAAATATACCAAGCCCTAGTTGGGGATTACCGTTTACAATGAACTCGATAAAGCCAACCCAAGTCAATTTTTTTCCGTTGCTAATATTTGTGTTTTTACCGACTGGTAACCAAGAAAGAGGCATGTCTAACCTTGCGTAGACTCTTTCAGCACTGAGCAGTTGAGGCTTTCAACAATGTACAGAAATATGTATGTATGATTTTTGTACACTTAAATTAGGCCTTGTATTGGCTGATAAACCGAAAAAACCGGCATGAGGATTTCTGCATTAATCGCACAATACATCTTCTCAAAGCTCAATGCAGCCTGGGTACATCACATACACACACGAACTCTGAAGAGCACTTTGCCCGCCCACAAGTTCCTGATATGTGGGATTGTACAGACATGATAGAGGCCACATAATGTGGCGTTGTGCGTTCTTTGGCAGTGCCCATTTAGTATGAGGAATCTACAAATAAGCGGCGGGCCGCAAAGGGGTTCGTATGTATAACGGCGGGAAAATCTTTGATAGTTTTCGTGGACGATCATACCGTCATTCGAGAAAATTCAGGATTAATCACCAGCTGTTCAGAAGAAACTAGCAGCGCAGAACCGCAGGAATCAAATACACCCCCAGTGAACCTGGATAACCGCATTTCGATAACCGATTTCTTCATCTCAGTTGGTTTTCGCTGCATGGGACTAAAATCACAATCCAAATGCTACCCAAGATAGCATTTTGGAGATAGCTCTCGTCACCTTACTACTCATAACGATTTGATTCACTAGCAGGGCGGTATGCCGGCTCATGGATCAAATTTTGTGAAGTCCGCAGCAGAGTTTGTCCGTCTTTGTCCGCACCAAGATTGGCCAGCCAAAACAAAGCAGATTTGAATATAGCGGATTACATATTGTGGTCGATGTTGAAGCTGAAGGAGTGCACTGAACAACACAGTTTGAATGGTTCGACGCTGCTGTACTTCGTAACCCGGTTCGATCTTTCTTGTCCGAACCGCGCCGCACTTACTTTGTCACTATATTTATCCCTCACTCCTGTACATACGCATGCAGGTGACCATACATGTGCATAGCATAAGCAAACGTACGGAGCGGACATTCTTGCACCGCATGTTGTGGCCAGAGTAGTAATTGCTCAGAGAACATACAGCCTACAACGTCGATGAGCAGGCTTAGAAGATCAGGTGAACAAAAATTATAAATTTTTTTGAATCCATTTTTGTTCGCCTAAGTTGCTTTGTGGGGCACATTTTGGTACTTACATGTTTTCATGGAACCACCTAATAAAGCTCCTTCTCAGTTCTTTAATTGGTATTATAATCTGTAAAATGTCATCGAACTGGAGCGACTAGGTGTTTCAGCAAGCTGCTTCTCGAAATAAACTTCACAGTAGTCTACAGATCCATGCGAAGCTTTTCGAAAATGGGAATCCCTCCTGCGCGTGCCGAATGAGGGAGCCACTCCGCTGTCGTTGCCTGTGCATTTCATTCGAACAATGTCGCATTTGCAAGGACCGAAACAGAGATGTGGCTAAAAATCGTACTGCTAACAATAATCTTCGAAGTTGCGTCGACCGTGCCCAGCTCAAGTTGGGATCCATATCCGGCGGTTTACTTGTTTGTCAGAATTTCAGGAATCACTGTTCGGAGTGCTCTTGGAAGATGGAGCATTGAATGTTTGCGATACATCGCGCCTAACTTAATCAGATTGAGATTCACGGAACTTTCTCGTACTTCTCCCGGCTTGCGAACAATATCCAAAAAATCCAAATTTAGTTCTTCGAAAAATCGGAATTTTCTGAGGATCTCCAGGTGTGCGCAGATCCTTTCTACTCCATATCACATCGCAGTCGCGACGATTCGCGGGACTCGAAAGTGGACAGATATACAGTCAGGAAACATAGGGTGTATACCGTAACCTTCTCGACGTTGCACTGGGGCGCGCATTCTCACGTGTCATCGATTTTCTCGTCTTCTCTGCACCCTCTCAACGAAGAGAGAATGCGTCGAGCAGGCCCGCGCAGAGTACTATGCGCCGTTTATGTAGAAGGTGGAGGACACAACGCGAGCGGTTGTCGCCACACGTCGGATGGGGCGGCACCCCGGGGATCACCTCCCTGTGCTCGCGCGCGGCGGAGCGCGCGCAGCGCTTTCAGCCTCGCCGCTTGCTCGCGGCGAGGGCGAATGACCTGCGACGTGTCTTTGGTCCTCGCCCGCACAAGCGGCGCACCGGACGTCGCAACGGCCGTTCGGCTTCGTCGCGGGTGTTCGGCCCCATCGCGCGGGCGGCGAGCCGGACGCTGCGACGGTGTTCGGCTTCGTCGCGCAAGCGGCGAGGCCAACGCTGCGACGGTGTTCGGCTTCGTCGCGCAAGCGGCGAGGCGAACGCTGCGACGTCGCTCCATTTTTGGGTTCGCTGCCCCGAACAGCAGGGGCGGCGTCGTTGACCGCTCTCACACTAGTGCTGGCATTGTGCACTGGAAAGCCTGCAACCGCGCTCTGACGCAAACACGTGGTGTTAACTTCGTATATCATACATCCTATGTTCCTTAATAACTTAGTAGATTTGTGAAAAAAAGGTGGTGATGGCGCACGCTTCATAGGCTAGGCAGTCCTTTCAGAAGGTGCTTGCGTAACTAGGCGTTGTGCGCTTGCCACAGCAATACTGACTGGCCATTAAACTAACAGAAGACAATGCAGTGATCCAAACGTTGCACACCTCAACTCAAGGCAGAAGTGCCGAATTCGACCAGTAGGGCGCGGCATTTAACGAGGGACAGATGTCAGCTGCAAGCTCTTGTGAGCGTTCTCTTCCACACATATACACTGCGTTGCAAAAATATAAATCCACCTGGAAAGTTCTTGAAAATTCGCATGATAGGGTGTTTCTGAAAAAGCCTTTGAAAGAAAAATGTGCTCAATATAAATATAATTTCGAGTGTAAACACCAACTTCCATTTCGAAAACACGAAAATTTTTTATTTTCATTTTTCAGAAAAGGGCCACTTTGCCGATTGTGCAAAAATATAAATCCACCCCATGTTTCTCGGTTGAACTTCATTGTTATTTGGCGTAACTGTCAGGTTGTTTCCACTTCCTCTTTCTCAGGTCATGACGGAAGCAACACCGTAATCGGACTCCGAAAAAAAGGCGAAATCTGCAAAAGAGTGGGGAGATTTGTCATGCAGACATACCGCGCGTGATTTGAGCCCACCGTTCCGCTTATGTAAAGGTTACTGAGATGTTTTTTGTCAAGAAATCCTGCAGCGATGTGGATATCCGAGAAGGAGCACTGAGACCGGTTTTCGTTTGGCGTGGTTTCAGTTACCCGATAAGATGCTAGTCCTTTATAGGGAACAGCAGCCGATTCTCTCCAAGAGGTGCTCGGGAACTCAGCCTTCAAAAAAGCCTAATTTCAGGAAAGCCACCGTTTGGCGTGTGTTAGAAGAACTCTGAGACCACTCTTCGACGGAAAATAAGTATGGCACAGTTTAAGACACAAAGCCATCCCAAAAAATCAGAGCACTTCTTCCAAATAAGTGTGTGCAAGTTGCTGCCGCCAAGGCATTAAATTTCGGAACTATTCTGACGCGCTACTTTTTTACAGTCTATCGAATTTACTCTGAGGCTTTTTTCTGCAGTTGTGATATAAATATCGGCACGAGACAGGAGTCCATATTGATTAAAAGGAACCAGACGCTCAGTCTGTAAACCAAGTGAAAACTGACCCATCAAAATGGGTACTGCGCGGCCAATTGGCCTCGCTCCGGCCAGATCGACCACTGATCTTGGGAAACTTGGCTTGATTTTTGCGATGATTCGGGATTTTTGAATGTGTCCTACTCATTTTCCGTTGAACAGTGACTCAGAGTTCCTCTAACACACGCCGATCGGTGACTTTCGAGAGATAAGGTTTTTTTGAAGGTTGAGTTCCTGGGCACCCCTTGGGAGAATCGGCTGTTTTTCCCATAACACTACGGTCATCGCAACTGAAACGCGAAGAAATGGGTTCAATTCTCTTCTGTATTCCACATGTTGCAGAGTTCTTGAAGAAATGCTTAGCAACCACGTTAGCGGGGCTCAAATCACGCGCGATTTGTCTGCATGGCAAATCTCCCCACTCTTTTGCAGATTTCGCCTTTTTTTCGGAGTCCGATTGCGGTGTTGCTTCCGTCATCACCTAAGAAAGAGGAAGTGGAAACAACCTGACAGTTACGCCAAATAACAATGAAGTTCAACCGAGAAACATGGGGTGGATTTATATTTTTGCACAATCGGCAAAGTGGCCCTTTTCTGAAAAATGAAAATAAAAAATTCTCGTGAAAACATTATTCGATGGTCTCCAGGAAATGAAAGTTCTGGGTGTTTAACACTCGAAATGGATATATTTCATATGCAGCCACATTTTTTCTTTCAAGAGGCTTTTTTCAAGAAGACACCCTATCATAGCGAATTTTCAATGGACTTTCCAGAGGTTGGATATTATATTTTTTGCGCCAACAGCAGGTGTAATCACCGAGATATTGGCAGGAGAATTTTTTTGCAGGAACGAAAATGCCCAGAGAATAAGTATGGACTAGGAAGTCTCTCTCTGCACATTCAATAGGCATAGATTAAAGCCCTAGTAGACAGACCACCGAAAGTCATCTATTAAAACTGGTTCCCATAAGTGGCTTTTCCAATAAGGTTTTATCGACCCTATAAGGCGATCAGCAAGGTTTGAATCTGCTTAGAAATACATTTCATTCGGTTGATTATTTTACTGAATTGTAAACTTTTCGCAATAATTTGCAAAGTTGACTTTGAATTGCCGTCCTACATTGGAGAGCATTCTGGAGTCAAAATAGATTCTACCGTATCTTTTAGTTGTCCCTGCCTTGTAAGCAAAAATATGCTATGTCAGTTTAAGAAGCTTGCGTTGGTGACAGATTATAATTTGAAATAATCCGATCCCGCAGAAAGAAACTTGCTATTCAAAGGGTGTGTTCCTTCGAAGATTCTGAGGGTTACTGTACATCTCATAAGCAGTGCCCACTCTGCATAGAAACACTCATAATAAGAGAGTTCTTGAGTTTGATAGTTATTGACTTCACGGTGAGCTTCACGTTGGCTCAACTATGTGTACAGCCATAAATTCGTATTTTTTAGCCTCACTTTCTTTTTATGTTACGTCAGTCGAGCATTGATAAGCCCCTTGTTCAACAACCAATGACAAATTCTTATGAAAAGCTTCCTCCTACAATGGCCTGTTGCCATAAAGTATCAAGCTTGGGGATATTGCAATCGATACCCGAGGCCTGACATGTCTAGGATGAGACACTTCCAATGATTAGCCGCAACCTACATAGTACGTTGGAAGAGAGGCACTGAGGCCACTTTGGCCAATTAAATGAGATGAATCCCCTCTACTCTCCCTTTGGTATGATAAACACTAACCCTAAACGGCTTCACAAGTCTGATACACGATTCTTCAAATGTAGTTATCGTAAAAGCTCTCTGCCCTCGTTGTCTTGTAGCTTTTCCTTTAAAAGTTCGTTTGACTGTTCGCAATTCCTTCACAGAGATATTTTGGGCCAACGTTGCTAAAGCATTACAGCTAGCAGTAAGTTGCTCATAAGAGCATGCATACTCGCCTCGGGCTGGACCCAGCAACCTCCTGTCTGTGGTTCAGTACCACAATCGTAGCGTTTTTTACCTTACAACTCCATCGAATCGGTTGACAGATGTGGAAAGCAGTCATAAGGTGAGCATATCGAGGCGAATGCAATGATATGATTCCAATTGGCGGGGTCAATATGTTCACTTTCTGTGTTAGATCAGGCAAAGCCTATTCATGAAAATTGTCACACCAGTGACGCGAGCACGCTCAGTGCTCTGCAAAGAAAGGAAAGCGAAAAGAAGTCGAAGAACAATATTTCCAGTGCAGAAAGTGAATATGCGATCTTTGGGTCGAGAGCAGTCTTCCAGTCGCTGAGATCTCTACGAAGACATGTTTTACACTGGTCTGAGCCATCTATGCCGTAGCACTTTCGGGCGGAAGACAGCGACGATTTCCTTCAATCGCCGCGCAACACCAAACATAGGCACATCACTTCCTGGTTGAAATTTATCGCGCCTTAGGAAAATGGCACATTGTGAAGGTCAGTGCAGACCAACTATACGGCGAAATGGAGGCGTGCGTGTCCTATATTGCTCAAAAAGGTAGAAGAGCATGACCACAGTAGAGATGTCAGACAAACTCATTTATCCTGAAGGTTATATCATGACTATATATACAAATGGAAGAAAGCCAACCAGCACTGCTCCCAATCAACATGGACCTCGAGCACCGCATCAAGGCCTACCGCTTCGTCGCCTATTCGGCTGTTACCTTCTCGGTGGTCGCAGTCCTTTCGGTCTGCGTCACGCTGCCGATGGTCTACAACTATGTCCACCAGGTTAAGAGGACCATGCACAATGAGATCAATTTCTGCAAGGAATCCGCCAAGGACATCTGGAGCGAAGTCAACCACCTCAAGAACATCCCAGCCGGAAACAGAACCGCCCGTCAGGCTGGATACGGTGATGCCGGAGTAAGCGGAGGATCTGCCAGCGCTGGCAGGTCGCTGTGACTCTTGCTGCCTTCCAGGAGCCGCTGGACCAGCTGGAACCCCTGGTCAGCCCGGTCGCCCAGGAAAGCCTGGAGCACCTGGTCTGCCAGGAAATCCAGGACGCCCACCACAGCAGCCATGTGACCCAATCACTCCTCCTCCATGCAAGCCATGCCCTCAAGGACCTCGAGGAGCTCCCGGACCTCAGGGACCTTCTGGAGATGCCGGTCGCAACGGGCAGCCTGGAGCCCCAGGATCTGGTGCTCGACCTGGACCACCTGGACCAAAAGGACCTCCCGGACCCAACGGCAAGCCTGGAAGCCCTGGCGCTGCTGGCAAACCCGGAACACCCGCCATTTCAACTCCACGCACTCCAGGATCACCCGGACCAGCTGGAGGTGTTGGACCTCGAGGCCCACCTGGACCTAACGGACAGCCTGGACAACCAGGATCAGCTGGTGAGTTTCGGAGGCATTCAGATTTAGTGGCCAGTGCCATTTGCCTTGTTAACCTTTTCTTTGTTTCAGGACAACCTGGACCCAAAGGACCCAATGGATCTAACGGACAGCCTGGAGCCAATGGAAATCCTGGTGCACCGGGTCAATCTGGACAGCCCGGCGGACCTGGAGAGCCAGGTATTTGCCCCAAGTACTGCGCTATCGATGGTGGAGTCTTCTTTGCGGACGGAACTCGACGCTAAATCATCGACGACTATCCTTTTTCAAGAACACTGCATCAATAAATTCGTTCTTGCTCAACGCTCAAATCACTCACATATCACTCCGACCTTCCGAAAACAATGTTGACATTCTGAAGAGCGCTGCCGCACTTTTTTCAAACCCTGAGAGTCACATGAGACTCACGCTTCACGATACCGAAAGTGTGGTGCTCTCGGCACCTGGCATGGCTGGCAAATTCCTTGAGAGCCATCACTTCTCATATGTCCTTGGCCTGCTAATTACCTCTTCTTGTCTTTTAAGAAAAGTTTCGCTACTGGTCCAAACACTTCCAGATGTTAAGGGTGCTATAACGTAATATTAAACCTAGGAAGATCGGGGGATGACCATCATTATCGCAAACCCGCATCCCACGCTCAACGTTTGCCCATCTGAAACGTTCATTTAACGCTCTTTTCTATGCCACCTTGTACTGCTGATGAAGTGTACTTTTGCTGGTACTGACTGATGCTTCTGCCATTCCCTGGCAATGAACTGTTAAAGGTGCAACATTGCTCACCAACTTAGGAAAATCACAGCTGGTACCACATTTGATAGGCTTATACTGCTTAAAACTACGCACTGGAGAACACAGTGGGGTCCTTTACATATAATGGTAGAATTTGTCCTCTATCTGAATGACATACATCCTAGTACAGATCGATTTTCGCTGAGCTTTCTTTTCCAAATTGAGGCTCGATATTATGCATAGAAGGGCATCTCCATAGAGCGCACCATACCAAGCACCCGATGTCATGTGGTGCTCGGAAAACGGACTTATCTTCCTTGTTATTTATCCACTCCCCCACTCTTGAGGTTTAGCAGCAATTAATTTTCTGTCTATTATTCTAGTCGTTGGGCTGGTACAAGTAGGAATTGCGATAAAACTCACGGGGGGGGGGGGTGGCTTCAAATACGTATAAATGGTCCTGAAAAACCAGCGTGTTATTCGCTGCTCAATCTTGTACCCAAAACATGGACTTTGCATCTTATCTACCCTCCCCTCTATACATTTGCACGTGATGAGATTTTGAACGTGGAAAGTGAGTTATTTGCTCACAGATCACTTTTTGATCATATTCCAGTTCATGTAGGTCCTCTAAGAAATTGAGTAGCGAAACCAATAAATAGAGCTCAGTGATTTCCAATGGAGTGAACGTCACAGTTTAGGTTAAAAATTATGGTGATTATAAAACAGGTAATGAACTGAATGGAGTTTCCTAGTTCTCTGTTCCTCCATCCCTTCTCGACTCACATTCGCGCTTAGTCGCTCTAGCCCCTGCAACAACAAAATCAGAAAGCATTCATGGCCGACTTCAAACGCTTTGAACAACAATCGCTTAAACTATCCCCGGAAGCTTTCGAGAGTTGTGGCCGAAATAAACGCAACAACAGTTGACCTTCATCGTCGCTTTTCAAGGCTTTCTTCGGCGATTTCACAGATCGAAAAACCGGTGCCGCTATCGGCAAACCAGGCGCATAGTGCACCACGCCTTTGTCGATCAAGTCACCGTTGGTGACTCGCTAAACAGCTTACTGAATTGTGCAACGAAGCTGAATGAAGGAGCTTCTTTGGAGTTGCTTGAGCTGCGATGCTGCTATCGAGGACTTCAACACAGTGTTCCTTGTGCAGTTGACTGTTTTCGACAAAACAAACAGTAAGATTGTGTATTACGGGATTCCTTGTGGGCCTTTACAGTTACCATATTCGCATTACAACAGGGACATGCCAAGCTGGCCACCTAAGAGTATTTAAAAGGTGTCGTTTTGATGAGACTGGCGCATGTTAGAAAAGTTCCTCGCCCGAACTAGGAGGGTCTTTAGGGACGTGCTCAGCTTCTTCGAAGCAGTATTTTGCATTATGACTGGGCATGCATGGGACATGGAATTATGTTCCATTTTTCCTAAGCGGCCTAAGCGTCAAAAAGGTGATGGAAAGTAGGTTCATGACTCGAAAGCGTGGCAAAAAAGTTCTGCATTCCCGATTGATGTATGCCTGGTATCCCGAAATGGTGTCCCAGGTTAGTAGTGGATGCCATATTACTATCACCATGAGCAACTTATGCGATAGTTTTTTTTCCGGACAAAGCGGTTTGGCGCTCGAGCTGTTTTAACCCATTTTCTGGCGTTCAGAGGGCCACTCAGAAAGAAAAACCATAGTTCTATGTTTTATGCTGTGCCCCTACACCATGCTAAACCCGTAAGCGGGCACGACCTCCAATACTTTCCTGGTCCTGTTTTCGTAGCAAGCAAGGTCTTACCTGGTGAACGACTGAAAAGTTGAACTACCACTCAACCTTTCAATTACTGTTGGGACACACAGGTGCCCTCAGTAGTACTGATAGAGTTGCGCTCTCGAGACAGAAGCGTTCATTCGAAGGTCGAGCTGTGCACAGATGAAACTTTTTATGAAGTCTTCCCTTTAACAACATTTTATCAGGCGTGAGAGAGAACTAGGATTCATAGACTACGACTTTCAAAATTAAACATGCTTGACGTGTTGTGTGAAGTCTATCACTACTAGCGCCTATTCATCCATGGAGCTTTGATTTGCCTGTTTCACCTTAGGATTCGTTCCACGGACCACACAAGCGAAAATAGGCGCTGTTGCCACCACACCGTTTCCGCTCATCGTGGAACATATTACCGAGCTGCACTATTGCAAACACATCGTTTCAAATAACAAACACACCTATTGAGGATTTTCGAGATTGTTTTATTAGATCTACGACACACGGCCAGCGAACTGCGCTAGAACTTGATGACCTCTTCAGATTGAATTCCTCTATCGTGTGGGGAATTGGCTTTCAGAATGAGGCTTGCAAAGCTATTATTAACGCACACCTCGGTCTTCAAACCTTTTTCAAAAACATTTTGAAATTAGGGTCGAGCTCTTCAACTGCGGGTCACATAGGAAAAGAGCTAAGCAAGTCCTGGCGCTGGTCAACAAAGTAATTTTCGGATATTTTGAACCTCGTTGATGCTTGTGGTGATGATCTTAGGCTTCCAGTTGTGTGTTGCCATATGCCTCAAAATCTTTCATTTGAGCGCTCAAAC